CATTACTTACGTATAAGAACACTGTGCGACTACAAAAATATTCCAAAGATCGCGTGGGATTGATTGTGCCAAAAACACAATCCACTATCATTTCCCCAAAAAATTTGGTAATGTTAGATCGTATAAGAATGGGGCATCAATTTGAAATTATAAATTTTGAGGAGTACAAGTATTTTTAAGATTTTGAGGTCAAATATGATCACAAATACACGCACATGTATAGATACATCTGCCCGTTTATTTTTGTATTCTTTTAGCTACAACTTTTTTCGCATTAAATGAATTTTTTATTAAACAGATTGTACGATTACATTAATGTTTTTTAAATTTATTTAGCAATTGATTAGCAAAAGTAAAAAATTATAGCAGATATTTATATATATATATATATATATATATCGACATTCTATCTGCATGATTTGTTGATTAAATTTTTCATGTTCGTCTTCTGTAGCAAGCTGCTTTAAAAATAATTCAAGATGGTGAATATGACCAAACCTGATTATATTTTTGTCAAGTGCAATATGTGAAAAACAAATAGTTAAACTGCACGCTTCTCGTCACGCTTCAAGTTTTTCTTCCACAGAATTATCTTACTCGCATGTATAATATTTGGTACCAAAATAATCCTTAGGAAACGTATTTGGTACCAAAATAATCCTCATCGAAATATATAGAACTCGATTTTTATTACTTCCAAGCCTTGAAAAAACTTGAGTTAAAAAAATTCGTTTTTCAGCAAAAAATAGCAAATGAAGGGCAGCAAAGAAAAAAGAATGATAATAATTTTCTCTATTTTTCCAACGTGAAAAGAAAAAGAGGGAACATGAACTGTGCAAGAAATTCAGCTAAAAAGAACAAGATTCTGCATTAATGACGCAAACTATCAATAGAAAATTTCAACTGGATACATATATAACTTTCGGTAGAGTAGTAAAAAAGTACCGAATAATGTCAGCTATCGGATATTTCCCAAATATTCGGTGTATCCCTAATATATACAATGTCCTACAATCATTGTATATTCTTTTAAATGCGGATTCTTTAAAATATTCTAAAACGAAAAACCTAGTACGAAAATATTAAATTTATTTTAATACATGTAACATCTCGTTATTGAATTGATATTTTGTGGTATATTCTGATATTAATTATGCGTAAGTAATATACAAATAGATTTTGTATACAAGAATTTTTTTCTTAATAAAAACATCATTGTATAATAAATGAAATTCTTAAGAGGACCTTTGTGGATTACTTTTACCATTTTGCTTGTCATGCATTCATCATTTTGAACGAGTGAAATTGTCACAGCTCTGTAATTAGTAGATTTTAATTGCTAATAATTTAGAAACTATTGGCCTCGATATTTTCATATTAGAAAATTTTCGTCTTAAAGTATTTCAAAGAATTTACTATTAAATAAATATACGAGTACATATATAAAAACAGAATGTCTCGCAACTATCGATTATCTCTTAAAGAATGTCTCGGAGATGATTTTGAGTAGAAAATCCTAATACGAAAATATCGAAATTATAATATTATAATTTTTAAATTAGTGGCGATCAAAATTCACTAAACATGGAACTGATAGAATACTTCACATCATAATCTTTTAATGATTTTAAGCTAATAATGATCCTGAGATCAGGAATCTCACGCCATGGGAAATTAACTGTAAAGTAAGCAACGGCAACAGACCTATAATTATTAATGTATTTTAAAATTTTAAGCTGAAAATTACAAATCTTGAACAACTCTGAATTAAAATAATCTAGATGGCTCATCACTGGACAGTTTAATGGTAGAGAAGTCAAACTATTAAAAGACCTAAATTGAATTCTTAATTTTGTTACATATAGGGTAAGACTGCCTAAAAGTGCGCATTGTTCAAGAATTTACACTCAGTTTTACGACGAAACTATTTGATCGTAAGAACTGTGTTTTACACAGAATGTACCTTTTTGGTTTGCTGATCTGTGTATAAAAAATCGTTGTGATCATTTCAGCGATAGAGGAGATATTTTTAATTTTGTGATTTTGATCATTTTCTTTCTATATTTTTCAACAATGAATTGATCGATTTTTGCATTAAATCGTTGATTAGTAAATCTGTACTATTTGTATTACGTGCATGCATATTCTGCTTCATATTCAGTGATATATTTACTTAATATTTGTAATAATTATATAATCATATTAAAAATAAAAAGTGAAAATCGCAAATTAATGAGAACTCTTGAGAAGACACTTGCTCAAAAGTTCGCATTTTCTTTTCTTAGTAAAATTAATCTCCTGTAAAAACGTGTCATAGTATTACATTGATACTTGATAAACCTTTAGTTTAAAGTGTAAAGAATAATTTAAGCACCATTTTCTTCCAATCTAAGAATCAGTAATGATTGTAAGATCATAATGTATTGTAAACAGTAGTCAACGTAACATGATTTTCTTACTGTTAATGCTTAGTAATTAAGTTTTTTTTGTGTACCATGACCTTAAGATTATCTACAAGTGATAAGGCTGTAAAAGTAAGAAATTGACTAATAACAATCAAATAGGAGGAAAATAATCAATTATAATTGGTCAATTTCTTGTTCTTATATATGCAGCCTTATCACCACTACAATGACTTACTACTATTGTAGACGAGCCTCTACAACCACTTACAATTATGCTTACGACTATTGCAGAATAGACATTAGGATCAAGACACACAAAAAAACTTCAGTAAGACATAAGCAGTAAGGAAATCAATTGTTGGATTGGCTACAATATAAATTATGACTTTACGATCTTTAATGCAATTGGCCAATTCGTTTCAGTTTTTTGGGTACCACAACCTTGACAGAAAAACAGAAAGCAGAAAATCAGCAACCAATCAAAATTTACGATGGTAGTGAACAGTGGCACAAAAAGCCAAAATCAGCAATTACCAGTGTAAGTTATGATTGACTCTGGCTTTTCTACCTTTCTACGAAGATCTGAATCCACCCTTAGAATACTATTAATCTTGCTTACTAGAATCATTCTACTGTAAACTCAAGCTAATATTAGGCAACATATCAATCTCTAACAAATTGTAGTCTAAAAAAAAATAGAAACCAGAGATCAGGTTTCTAAGAAACTTAAAAAATTGACTTAACCTAATGCCATCCTCTATCATAATCCGAATCTTGTCCTGCTTGGAAGAAGCACCATGATTGGCCAAGGTAGTGAATTTGGTCGCAACAAAGTCCTGCAGCTGATCACCGTCTCCGTGAAAACCATTCGAGGCAAATCTGCCGGCCGGTGGCTGTCGTTTCTCGAGGACGGTGGTGGTGGTGGCGGTGGTGGAGGTGGTGGTGGTGGTGGCGGTAGCAGCAGCAGCAACAGCAACAGTAGCAACCGTAACTGAGGAGGTAGAGGTGGCGGTGATAATGCCAGCGGTGTCACCATTTTCCACACAAATGTCACTGCGCTCCTTTTTAATTCGTTTAACATCAAACGCGTTCCCCTGTCCGTTCCTCGCGGATGTTTTGCAGGATTTCGTCTCGTCATGACTGTCAGTACTCATCGTAGCCTAAACCTCGCCGTCCTGCCTGGCCGCTCACCCGCCTCCAGCCGGTCGTAGCTCACGTATGCAGAAACGTATCGTCTCCCTGTGCACGGTCACTGCGAGCTACCATGTTGTTCGCCGTTCAGTGATCAGCTGGGCCGAGCTGGGCTCTCACTCGTTAGCAACCCTATGCGCCATTGCTCGGAAAGATCTTCGCATGTGAGAAACCGCCACACAAATAGCCGCCGACCCGCGTACAATATGCAGCGACGCGCGAATCCGTCATAACGGTACCGCGCGTGGTAGCCGCGTCGGTACAGGCGCTCAAATCGAGAGCGCTACCAGCCAGGATCAGAGAATCAGCAGGCGAGAATCAGACAAATCGATACCGGCTACGATGGTTCACGAACGTTACTCGGCTATTCGCCGCGCTTCGTCCTCGGTTTGTACGTTCTTAATTCCGTCGCCATAGAGTATACTGGAGTATACACTGTACGCGTCGAACGCAGGGTTGCTTAGCCGCTTTTTCCAGCGCATGCGCGTCGGAGACATTAGTCAAGTATGAAAATCACCATAAATGGACGTAACAAAAATCCCTAAATTATTGAAATGCATAGTAATATTACAATGTCTACGAAAATGAATCACAGAAATATTACTGGAATAATATGTAACGTTTCTGTAATATTTATATAATGTTTATATTTGTCACATATATTAAGAAAAATTAAATCATATATTAAAAAATTTTTTAATAATTATTTTATGTGATATTAATTAGAAAATAATATTAATTAGGTGCATTTAGTACGACGACCGTTCAGTGAGCTTCTGTATCTGTTTGGTCTTTTTTTTCTCGAAGGTTGCCACAAGCATTTTGCGATTACAGGAAAAAAGCCCTCGCGTCCTCTCTTAGATTTCTCTCTGATCTATGATCGAATCTGCTGCTCAACGGTGCGTTCCAAAATTCAATTCTGTCCGAGTATCGATGGGCGCGTTCAGCGGACGCAACAGTTGAGTGAGCGCTCGCTGTTATTGGTGTATTCTTTTGGATCATCCAATCAGAATTTTAGATCTAGAAGAATAGACCAATAACAGCGAACGCTCACTAAACTGCTGAGTCCGCTGAACGCGCCCACTTTATATAATTCACCTCATTTTAAGTGCACAAATTATTGGGAATTTTTTAAATAACGCGACAGATCTAATTATCCTTGTTCGTTTGGTAAAGGATTAAGGATAAAGCGATATTCGGGTCGACGGAGTCGAGTTTCGGAACGCAGATAAACAAGTAGGACAACAGCGGTGCGGGCGCGCGGCAAATCAAGAAGTTACCTCCTTTCGTTCCTGTGAGTCTTTGGTTGGTCGCTACGCGTCATAGCATCAGATTGTTTCAGTTCGTTTCAGTTCGTCTTGAACGTTGAACTGTTCGGATACGCTTTCGAGCACTCGAGCAGTCGCGTTAATCGCTGCGTACATTTTCGCGATTAGTTTCTTTTGCTCTCTGTCAGTGCACGCGCGAAATCAGTGGATCGGTGCTTTTTGTGTCAAATCCGTGGACTTGGATATGTCTGCGGACATGGGTTATACTTCCGGATTTAACATGGTGAGTGTGTTCATGATTTCTGTGTCGAAGATCCGAGTGGCGAATGTGGTGTGGCGATTTAATCAGCGCCGCTACGCCTTCGAAATTTTCGGGTTTGTGTACCGTTGTTCGTGAAAGAGTGTGTAAAATCGCAGCAAATTCCCGACCGTTTGGTCGAGACGTGAATTAAACCTAGCGGAGAATTACAATTCTTGTACTGGATAACACCTCCCTGATTATTATGTTATTTCAACGAAATCATAATAGTTGTGACAAAAGTACGTTTGTATCCCTTTTCATACCATTTTTATAAAAAATAAATAAGCGAAATATAGATATGTGTTTCTACTCGAAAGAAACGTTTTGATTTCTAAAGTCAGAAAATCAGTCAGAAAATCTGATACAGATAAAAATATAAATTATTATTTTATGTGTGCATCTTTAAGTCTGCGGATAAACTAATAATTCTAATTTTCATTGAATTCTCCTGAAATGCCATAGTTAGGATGACCATTATATCCAGCTTTGCCTGGATATGTATTCTTTTCTTTTTCGGCCAATTGAGGACATTTGACTGGGTTTAAAAAGAATACATTTTTGACACATGTTGAAAATCCAGTTGGACGTTTTTAGACAAAAAAATCTACTTTAAAGAAGATTTTTTGTTTATTGGAACAAAATAGACAAAAACCATCCTAATGTAATGTTACAGATCCTAATTTAGTAAAAATCACTTATAATTTACAAAATACACTTCTAACATTGTTTATACACCTCGTGAAAAGTTACCTGAAGTTTTGTTGTCACGCAGTTTCAACCTAGATAGCATAATGAATTCGTAAAGTATTCTTCAAGTTTTCTCTTTTCCTGAATTGTAATTCCGTATTAGGAATTTATAGAATACAATAGGAGTATTTCAAGAAGTTATATGCACCATGTTTAGAATTCCTGAGGGCTTAGAATATTCATATAGTTTCTTCTGTATTAACAGATGTATACTTTATTAATGCAAACAAAATGGTATTTAGTTAGAGAATTACAAAAATACCTAGCAAACCTCAATTAACAGTAACATTACACCAATATTGTAATTTCACACTGAATAATGTGTCGAATTATAATATAGTTTGTATGTAACAGTTATTTAACATGTGTGTTGAGTAATAAATTATAATATTTATTAATGTAACATTATCATATTGATGTTTAATGGATATAACAAATTTGTTCCAAATAAATGATTGTAATATATACATTTAACTTTATTAAAATAATTAACATTTTTATTTGTTGCTCATTTGTTCTAAAAAGTTGTCAAAGAAAAAATTTTTTGTTCTGTCAGATTTTTTAAATAATGTTCCACTAAAGGAAGATGAAGTTAGAGCCAATCTACTTTTTTGTTATTTTTTCATATTTTTCGAGAAATCAGTTTGGTGCTGTCGCTCTGTATGTACTGACGAATCCTAATTCATTTTTTAATAAATAATTTTTCAAGTTTATATAAAATTTATTACCCTTTTAAATTTGGTTATGTAATTTATTAATATGATTTTTTTAATTATTTGGCATAAAAAAGTAAGTTAGTGTTATCCATTTTCAAAATTTGCATTAAATAGAAATTATACGAAATCTTTACGCATTTAATGCAAATTAAACTTTTTTCTTATGTAATCAGTATTTGCGTCATTTTTTATAAAATAACTAAATTTTTGTGAAGACGATAAAATCTTTCTTATACATGCTTTTTTGTACTTTTTTTTGTGCTGAATTATTTGTAATAGTATTAATTTTAAACTGATCTGATGGAAAATGTTTAAAATCGCATTGAAGTATCATAATTTCGTCGGAATCTGAACTTTAATTGTAAAATCAACATTTACAAATAACTTAGCACATAAAAATATAAACAAACATGCATAAGAAGGATCTTTGTATTGTTTTGATCAAAATTAACCTATTTATTCATTGTCCAGGACATGGATTAAAATAGAGTTAACTTTGGTTTAACGTATTTTAAACTAAACAATCAAGTTTAGGTTTTGACGAAATATTTTTAATGCAATTTTTAATATTTTTCCATCACACCATTTTGAAATGAACATTCGTAAATCGTTTAGCACATCAAGCAAGAAAACATAAACAAGAAAGGTTTTATTTTTAATACAATACTCCGGATCTGAAGAGGCAGTGCTTTTTTCTTACACGCGTTATATTCTTTTATCTTCATACATGTGAATCGGTAACTAACAATAAATAAGGCCAATATCTGTCTACACATTGAAAAATGAGATTGAAGATTAAAGTCTGACCAATCAAAATAAAAGAAGCCAAAATTTCTTTGTTCTCATTGGTGGATTGAAATTTCAATCTTTAATCTTCAGTCTCAATCTTTAATGCATAGTCAGATTACGGATTAAAGCCGTAATCACACGTAATCGCAATTATTATTGTATTTTTAAAAGTACTAATTATATTAGAAAATATTATAAAGTTATCTTCTTCTTTAAACGGCGAAAGCGTAATACTTTCTGCAATGTTTTGATATTTTTTCATGAACGTCATCGTTATGATTCTTACTAATCTTTTATATTTAACTGTTTCATAGGAAAATCAATAACATGGAAACATATGGAAAATTGTGTGAAATCTCTAATGCATATATGATACAACATTAATATATATGGTGTCCCATCACTGACGATAAATATTTTAAATGAAGATTCTTTATAATACTTTAAGACGAGAAGTTTAATACCAAAATGTCGGATAATTTTTAAATGTGAAGAATTTAAAAATTACAAATAATGAAGCTAAAACTTCGCGCGCTCAGAGATAGCAAAATTGTCAGTGTGTAATTTACAAAATTAATATACGATATTTATCTTTATTTGTTTATTCATGAGCCCACATACAACATTTTGACGTATTTGGAGAGAAGTAAGAGCTAATATCCCATGATATATGGGACCCTCAGGGAGGCATATACTGCGTTTTACATACATTTTACAACGCATACACTTTACAACGCAAACCAAGAACCACCACGCTATGACAAAAGTTTAGCATAGTGTGTGCATGCATCTTGATTTCAAATTTCGTATCCTCTGTTAAAATAACGAGAAGTACGTAAAATGCATGCGCATGCAGCGGTCATACTGCATAAAAATGTGACCACCGCAGCACATGCGCACATCGCGGTATTTCGCGGTTATGACAGTTTTCCTAACCTGAAGGCTAATTCTACAATGTGTTTTTTGTTTCCTGTTTCTTGTTCTCTGTCTCTTGCCTTTTTGATCATGAAGGTAAGAGAAAAACAGCAAGAAACAGGAAACAAAAAGCACATTGTAGAATTAGCTGAATAGTCATCAACTTCGGGTATGTTAAGTTAGCACCCCAACTATAGTACTCAGGAGTTCTGATTAGAGTTCCCACTTCCTTTTGACGAGACGAAGAGTTCCCTATAGTTAATAACAAGAGTTCCGCTTAATAAACATTCTTTTTACATTTTTTAAAAATGGGGTGCTAACTTTTTATCGAATTTCGAGGTGGAATAGTTCTGAGCGGCTTAATAGATTCAATTTGCGATTGCCTAGAGTTCCTGATATGTAAAAAAAATTTTCGAATAATAAAAAAAAAATTAAAAATTTTTGAAAAATTAATTTTTAGATACAATAGTTCTGATGATAATTCCTGCTTCTTTTTGACGATACGAAGAGTTCTCTATGATTTTTAATGACATATGCGCTTAATAATCATTTTTTAATAATTTTTTAAAAATGGGGTGCTAACTTTTTAACGAAATTCAAGGTCGCATAGTTCTGATCAGCTTAACAGAACTATTTTGTGAATACCTAGAGTTCTTGATACATAAAAAACATTTTTGAAATATAATAAAGTTTAAAAAAAATAGTGGAAATCTTTGAAAATTTTTTTGAGAGTACCAAGTAGTTCTGAGTAGCGTTTCTTATAGTACTCGACGAGTTCTATCGAAAACTGTAAGGTGGAAAAGCGATTGGACCAACGGTTTGCAAGATACAGCGACATTTGTCAGAAGATCAACAATTTTTAGAGTATATCTCGGAAACCGTTGGTCCAATCGCTTTGAACCCTCATACTTTTCGACAGAACTCGCCGAGAACTGTCCAGAACTCCGAATAGAACTACTCGGTACTCTCAAAAAAATTTTCAAAGATTTCCACTATTTGTTTACACTTTATTATAATTCAAAAATGTTTTTTATGTATCAAGAACTCTAGGTATTCACAAAATAGTTCTGTTAAGCTGATCAGAACTATGGGACCTTGAATTTTGTTAAAAAGTTAACACTTCATTTTTAAAAAATTATTAAAGAATGATTATTAAGCGCATATGTCATTAAAAATCATAGAGAACTCTTCGTATTGTCAAAAAGAAGCAGGAATTATCATCAGAACTATTGTATGTAAAAATTAATTTTTCAAAAATTTTTAATTTTTTTTTTATTATTAGAAAATTTTTTTTACATGTCAGGAACTCTAGGCAATCGCAAATTGAAGCTATTAAGTCGCTCAGAACTATTCCACCTCGAAATTCGATAAAAAGTTAGCACCCCATTTTTAAAAAATGTAAAAAAAATGTTTATTGAGCGGAACTCTTGTTATTAACTATAGGAAACTCTTCGTCTCGTCAAAAGGAAGTGGGAACTCTAATCAGAACTCCTGAGTACTATAGTTGGGGTGCTAACTTAACATACCCCCAGCGCACGTTGTTCGGATCCGGCGTTAAATGGTAAGTCCTATATATCACTATAAATATATGTCTTTATCCTCCGACTGAGGATCGGACATTAGGCTGACAATCTAATTCCGGAAAGAGAACCCATTGTTAAAAATCTCAATACTGGAGATTGGAAAACATCGTAGGACGTTATGAACCAAATTATAGATAGATACTTTAATTTAAAAAAAAAGTGGGATTTAACGCAAGTTGTTGATATCAATTATTTTATACAAATTGTACATATGTATATAAATTAGAGAGAATTAAGTGAATAATAAAGATAGTGTCACTTATTATTAATAATAAAGATAAGTTATATTTTTTAATTTTTTAGAATTTAAATTGTTGACATCAAATATTTTATACAAATGATTAAATTAATTTTATTATACAAATTATAATTTTATTATACAAATGATACATATTATTAGTTAAATAAATAATAAAAATAGTACTGTTTGGATTTTATTTATTTGGTACAATAAACATGGTTTTTATCACATGGGTTTTATAATTTGCTACAATTTTTTTTTTCAAGGTATTACATATTCAAATTAAATTTATTTAATAGTTTAAACAAAAATTTAATAGTTTAATATTTTATAAATATAGTTAAAAATACATTTAAAAAATAATGTTTTAAACATTTGTTTTAAATGCGTTAATTTAACGTGATGTTTAAAACATATTTTGACCTGGATTAGAGAGAGCTTGAACTTTTGTCAAATGTTGTAGCATAAATATAACATTAATAGCTTAAAGGACAAGTGAGAATTATTTTATGTCAAAAATGTGAATAAAGGAATATCTGGTGGAGCGAATTCAAACATAAAGTGTTCCGTATAATTTCCTGATGTCGAGATAATCTCAGCTTCGTTCAGTACTTTGCGTGTCACCAGTAAATTGATAAGACACTTGCACGGCTAGCCAATTACTCAATCATTGAAATCTTAATATACTTATGTATATTAATGTAAAGATATTATATTAGTTGTAACGTGTTTATTACAGCATATAAAAAGTACTTGAATCTGCATATATTATTTTATTAAAGTCTCATTATTTAAAATAGAAGAAGTGATGATGGTTTTGAAGCACATTTGGACTAATTTTTCATTATACAGCTGTTCGTAGTTATTTCGACCGTACGACTTCTAAGAGGAATATATATTGAAATATAAAATTGTGAATACATAAATGAATATGTAAACACACATATACACACAACGGAAATACAGAGTGGCGTGGCACGACGTAGCGCATGCGCATCTTCTCGAGTCGATAATGCACTATTGAAGCAGCTAACACCAAAACCACTTCGCATCGGTGATTTCTACTGCAGGCATCCCAAAATTGTTGGAAACATATTTTTGCATTTCTTCTCTTTCTCACGCTTAGAGGAACGTGACATCGCCGCTATGTATTTAGTGGGGATTCCAGTTTCATAGTATATGTATATATGTATATATAGATGTCACAAAGATTGAATAAATTAGATCTTAACAGTGGTTTAAAATCATTTGCTCATTTAACAATTTTCTATTTGAAACGAGAAACATTGACACATAAAAAAAACCTAAGACTTAAGCAGTAAGAAATCCAATATGTTGGATTCGTTACTGTTTTGATACAAAATCAATCTTTTTTATTAATCTTTTATAGACGAGTGATCACTTTTGGGACCACTCTCTTATTTTGTAAACTTCTTGCTTGATTGTTATGAAATTTTGCCTGTGAATTTTGATAATACTTCCATTTTTTAATTCCAAGACCAAAAGTAAAGAAATTATTTATAATGGTATGAAACCAAGAAGAATTTCTAATTATTGTGATATGATTCGACATTCTGAAATATTTAATGTATTTAACGGATTCGAAACAAAGACTATGGGAGTCAACACGATTTCATTTATAATTAAATTAAATATTATACATTTAATTACAAGAATAATGATTATAACAAGCAATTATTACGATCACTACTACCAATCAGAATATTGACTTCAAACATTTTAATTGATTTGAGCCACTCTTAGCGAAATATTTAAACTTTAATACATGCTGTGTTTTGTATTATGTGCTCCTGTACAATTTACGTTAGTAATTATAACTACTGTTGTTATTAAACCTGCTGTATAAACGTAGTCGGTGTTATCTTGCAGCGGTTTGAAGTTTTATTGGTACTTAGAAAATTTTAAGACGTAAGACTTAAGCAATAAGCGAATTGACCAATCACAGTAGAGATCGTAAACCATAACGTAAACAGTAACGAATCCAACATATTGGATTTCTTACTGCTTAAATCTTAAGTTTTTTTTATGTGCCAATGTTTGTTTCTCTTTTCAAATAGAAAATTAACATTTTTGTCGAAAATTAATTCTTTAAGTTTAAAAATCCTGCACATTTTGTTAAAAATAAAAAATTTTTAAATCCCATTCCATAATTTTTATCCTATAATTTTTAATATACTTTAAGAACTTTCTTGAATTTTTTATAGCCCCATGTTAGAATTTTTACTCTATAAAAAGAGGGACGGGATCTCGCTTCGCGTGGAAAATCATTACCCATCACAAACTTATCAGGTTTCATTCGGAGAAGAGAGGACACTTTTCCTTATCAGTATTTATATGCAAAGAAGAATGAATGAAGAACGTCGATATCTAGTGCCTGATCATGTGTATAACTATTGCAATTGTTATATGCACTTGTTAGATGCTATGAAGAAATATGTGTCAAAAGAAAGAAGAAAAAAAACATCAGAGAAAGTTTTCTTTCTAGTTATTGGTGAAAAAAAATGGTGAAGAAGATGTCACTTAGATAATAGTTCTAAAAATTGTTCACTAAGAAAGTAAACCAGATTATTTGGATTTGTTGAATTTCGAAGGAATCAGTCCTAAAAAGGACTCCATTTTTTTCTAACTGCATAGCCTACTTCACACGAAATAATGATATATTTATTCAGGGATTTTGACCTAGACGATGCAAATAATGAGCTCGATCCTCGCGGTAGATATGGTAATAAGCGAATTATCAGTTATTCGCGACCATCTTTAGAAAGTCTGACTACAGGAGGGTGAAAGTTTTACTCGAAAAAGATTTCTACGATTCTGTAGACACTCCCCTCACACACACCCGCACACACACGTACGCATTTTTATTTATTTTTTCCTTTATTTAATATTTAATCCTTTATTTAATTTATTTTAATAATTAAAGCCTAAATATATATATATATATATATATATATATATATGTATGTATGTATAATGTGCTCTTCGTTCTCCTTTTGAACTTTTGGAAAGATGAGAAACAAGAAAATTAAACAGCCAATAAAACAGTGTGCGAAGAGGCAAAAAAGGTAATAAACAAAAAACAACAAGGATTAGAAAGCAAAAAGCACATTATAGATTAGGCTTTAGTGATTGCAGGAAAAAAAAACGATATTCGTTGTAATTCAGTTAATTGAAAGTGACACTGACCTCGATGGAAATCGGGTGATCGGGTCCTACTTATATTATTAGACGAGATACGCACACCTGTTTCGGATGGAACCGGTTGAGAGACGTTAACTGTGAAACGCACTTGCTTTCAGACGATGCGGTAGTGGATGACTTCGCAGTAGCGGACTCAAGGTTGAATTTGAAGAAGAAAAAGATATTTTTCGCGTGCTGCAGCACAGGGGAGGAAGAGATTCTAGATGCTAGGCCGGATCAAAACGAAATAGAAAAAAGAAAGAACACGAAAGAGAGAATTATTAGCGGGAAGAGGAAACGAGGACGAGAGATAGGGGAGGAAAGAGGGACGGGGAGGAAGAAGGAGGAGGAGGAAGAGGAGGAGGAGAGAAAGTAAGAGAAAGAGTGAGGGAGGGAGAGGGATGGGCGCTGGGATGGGTAGAAGCGGCACGAGCGGCGGTCTGCTCGAGGCACTTCCCACAGGAACTCCACTACACGTGGCGATGCTCGGTCTTGACAGCGCTGGGAAAACTACCGCCTTATACAGACTGAAATTTGACCAGTATCTCAATACCGTACCGACTATTGGCTTTAACTGTGAGAGAATTCGCGGTGGCATCGGAAAAGCTAAAGGTACATTCCAATACTGAAAAAAATTTTGGTTCAACGAATGACCGTTAATCAATGTCCAACTTAATGTCCAATTAATTCATTAATACAATAACTGGATTCATTAACATAATTACGTATTTATTATGCCACTTTTTATGGTGTAAGGCTTAAAAATCTATAGTGTAGATCCGGGCTAATGGTAATCTCGTTGGCTAAGAATCTAGAATTGATTTTTCTTTCAGCGAGACTATTGTGATTATCGATGTTTCTTAAATTGCTAATGATCGAAGAGAAAGAGTTTCTCGCGAATAAATTTTCAAGAAGTCAAACGGCATTACTCGCTTTAGTTAATTTCAGATATTAATAGAATCTCTATACAAATCTCGTATACAGAGACATACAGGACAAAAAAACCGAGAAAGTTACAATAATCTTTTTCGATATATTCGATAAGAAAAAAATAAATTCTAAATTAAATTAACTAAAAAATTAAACATCAAATTAAATGTTGTCAAGAATAGAGAAGTTGCTCGGTTTCCAATGACTAAACTAACAATAAGTAAAAATTCGATTATAAGTGTAATAAGTCACGGACATCATTTTTGGACGCCCACGTTACATCGTTATAATTTTTTTTCCTCTTAGAACGAAGTATGTCTTTTGATCGCAGGTGTTAATTTTCTTGTGTGGGACGTCGGTGGGCAAGAAAAGCTACGGCCGCTGTGGAAATCTTACACAAGATGCACCGATGGTATTATTTTTGTCGTTGACTCTTGCGATACTGAACGACTTGAGGAGGCAAAAATGGAGCTCACCAGAACGGCGAGAAGTCCCGACAATACGGGTGTGCCGATCCTAATCCTCGCCAACAAACAAGATTTGCCCGGTATATAACTATAATAATATCATAAAATTTATTTAAAACTTATAAATTATATTTCAAAGAAATTAGACATTTTTTTAAATTGGGAAGTACTATAATATTTTATTTTTGTTTCCTAAATATATTTCCTATTTTTGTTGTTTCATATTTATTTAATATGTTTTTTTCTCAAACTTTTTGCGTAATACATATGACGCAGTAAATGTACTTGTTTTTGTGTGCAAACTTGATTCGTAGCAGTTGGCGTAAATAACCGTAGCGCGCACGGATGCGTTTGTCATTTCTGCGTCGTGTCACATCGTGCTTTTTTTTCATATTATTACACACTGTAAGAAATTATATAAAAATATGAACAAGCGCATATTTTTGTTAAATATTGAGTTTTCATATTGATGGAAAAATTAATTTTAAAAAATGTAAAATACATACTATAAAAAAAAATCTAAGCAAAAAAACTATAAAAATGAGAGATTTATTTAAATATAAATACATACAATAAGCATTTTTTATTTATCTATTCATTTTTTTAATTATTATAAATTGCAAATGCGCGAATTTCGTATTTTATAAGTCTTTCTAATGGTATATTATGGCAAAAAATTATACATGAATAAACAAAACGTTGCAATTTTGATTGACCTTTACTTCGGAACGTAATTTGTTGAATTATGGAATAGATAAGAATAATATAAACACTTTACTTTATTTCGTTACAAGACAAGTTTTATATTGTATAGGTGCGAAAGAAGTTAGTGAACTGGAGAAGCATCTGGGAGTGTTGGAACTAACCGGAATGCCAGGCAGCGCTTGTATTCGTGTGCAACCAGCGTGCGCTATTACAGGCGAAGGACTTCACGAAGGCTTAGACACATTGTACCAGCTGATATTGAAACGACGCAAATTGGCTAAACTGAATCGGAAACGGGCCAGGTAGGCCAGGGCTTCGGAAGACTGCACATGCGTCTTCTGATATTGTCGATTGCGGACAGCCTCTCCTTTGGCTACGCTTTCCACAACTTCCATCTTGTTCTCTCTATCTAATTGCGATGAGGACGTAGCATATTGACTCGAAGGAAGTGAACGGTGATCATGAAGGGTGCGATCACTTCCCTCTGACTTTCACTCTCAGCGAGATGCTGTTGAAATTACTAGCATCGATTTTTAGGTGTGTGTATGTGTGTTTGTGTTTGTATGCGTGTACATATGAGTATATATCAGTGTAGAGCTGTATGTGAATATGAGAAAAAATAGAAATGGTGGATTTTATTAACTACTGTTCCTATTAGGTTGTTGCATATAACATTTTTTACTTAAAAATCGAGATTTTTGATGTTCAAGTTTAAACAATTTTCGAAATCTATATATTATAATATATAGATAATTATTTAATATTGATAATTATCTATTAGTAATCTTTTAATTTATTCCTTAAATGAGATATAAAATTAAATGCTCTTACGATGCAAAAAATAAAACATATACTTGAGTGATGTATATTTTAAACACAAATTTTTTCATTAATTTAGAATATTTATCATTTACAATTGTTCGGCACAAATAAATTTATAAGTTTGAAATGATGTATAACCTTGTGCAAAAGTATTCGGCACCTTATAACTACCAAGTTACTTTAAATTGTGATAAAGGTAGATAAAAATAAAACTATATATACTTTTAGTTAATATTTATTGCTTTTATCATTATTTATGTCCATGCTTAGTTCACGCGAACATTTAATTCTTTGGCCTATTTCAAACTGTGATTTACCCTGTTCGTATAAAAGTTGGAAACAGCAAGTGCTGTTGTACATTTTTTAGACATTATTTACAAAAAAGAACTCAACTTTCAAAAATATAAGCAGTAGAATATGACACATATATTTTCACTACGAGCACCGACAATAGAATAATACTTCAATTATACTAGAAGGTTTGCGGGTTATCGCCGTGTTCACTTCAGGGTGAGGGTATCAGCACACCCCTTGCCCTGATGAAGTGAACGGCATGATTCACGAAACGTTAGCATCAATAATGAAATAACCCGCAAACCTTCTGGTATAATTAAAGAAAATAACCGTGAAAGCCTCAAATGCGTAATTAGAATAATACTTCATTGGGAAAATACAAATATTCTCAATTAATGCTCTTCATCATTTATTACTTCATTGAAATTATATCTGTGTTTATTTTAGAGTAAACATCATCCAACGAATCACTGACAAAAAAATAAATTCTAAGAACGCATGTCGCATATAAATATAGTAATAAGGGTACCTAATACTTTTGCACAAGGCTGTAGATATTGTGCTATTGTATATTGTAAGTTTTCCTTCTTTAATTTAATTAAATTTCATATTGAATTGGATTTATTTTGTATGCAACAATGTAATAATTAAAATGATCGTAAATATAAACGTGTGACGATGCTAGTCGACTGAGGAAAATCTATCGTTGCGACAAAGGAAAAAGTCGATGCGAAAGTGGTATAAATGTAAGTAATTATAAATTGTAAATAAATCGGGAAAGTTGTAATTTCATGCCGGCACAAATTTCGAATGCAAAGATGCATTAACACGAGCAACGAAATTTAATTAATGTTGAAAAATCTGTGACAATATAAATCGCAATAAATTTGCGAAATTAGATATTTTGTTGCAAAGATTAATTGTTATCATATTTTTTAATATAAAGCGACACAGCAATGTATTTTTTTAATTACATGCGTGTAATTTGATGTTACGTATTTCATAAACTTCTTTATAAAATCCTTTTCATTTATTAAAAAATTAAAATTAATATTAATCTTGAGAAAAACCAATGTGAGGTAATACTAGATATTCGTATATTATATAAATTAGTATGTTATATATAATTACAATAATTATAAACGTTTTAACCCTGGTATTAGATCCTTTTCAGTGTACAAAATTTGCTAGTAAATCCGCAACAAAATAATGTATATAATCAATAAATTAATATATATAATCGATTTTATCATATCATTGTTAAAGTATTGTCCAAATTGAAAACTTTCATATTATCTGTTATATTTTGCTGAATATATAAACTGTACAATGTTCATTAAAATATTGAATCAAACAATAAAATTAAAAATTACTAATTCTACTAAATTACATTATTAATTCTAATAATTAAATTTGCATGAATCAATTCGTTAAAAACTTACATTTAATCCGATAACAATGAATTAAATCTTGTTATGTAAATACTCTGAGATGTCAACATCAAATGAAAAATCGATTCGCAATAAAGAATATAAGATATGTAGTACGCAAACATAATAAATAGAAATAAGTATATATAATATTGACGAAAAAACAACAACACTAATCATTCAAACCTTGGAAAAATCGATCCTTTGCGACTAAATTATAATACAAAAGGTTCAATGAATCTTTCATTGGTCGCGTTGAGCAGACTCAACTGTTGCGGAGCGGATCCCGTGAGCCCTCGCTGCTATTGGATGATCTAAAAGAATATACCAATAGCAGCGAACGCTTACGAATCCGCTCCGCAACAGTTGAGTCTGCTAAAAGTGACCATTTTGTAGTGGCTTGTTTTCTGTTCCTATACTAGACTATACTACAACTTTCTTTCTCGCTTCCGACAAATACCAAACATGTACCTATCTCACTTTAAGTTCCAAAAGTGTACACTAGTTCAGTCACAGAAAACAGACCTTAGGTTTGATCCATGTTTTTGTTTCTTTATAAAAATCACCTCAGAGATTAATCTTTTATTATAACTTTTTTTTTATCAAGAATAATAATGTTATTCCAATCAAAATTATGATTATGTTCATAGTATACGGACTGAGATTTAGTATTTCGATTGATATGATTTCAGTGTTTACTTATATATTCAATGAAAATTGTACAGTTTGTATATTCAGCAAAATATAATATAACAGGCAATATAATAGTTTTCAATTTGGACACTAGTTTAACAATGATATGATGAATTTATCGATTGTATATATTAATTTATTGCGGATTTACTAACAAATTTTGTATACTGAAGAGGATCCAATACCAGAGTTGAAACGTTTGTAATTATTGTAATAATATATAATATACTGTGGTGGCCGTGGCGCACTGGCAAAAGTCTTTGCCTCCCGTGCCAAAGTTCCAGAGTTCAAATCCAGCTAGAACTCTTGTAAATAAATAAAATAATAATAAACATAAATCGGCGGTCGCTCCGGCCGACCGACAGTATATACTCTGACGGCTGGATAGGATTCTGTGGGTCAATCACTCGCAAATCCGAAAATAAGCTGATTCGAGAAACGGATACGAGCCTCGGATATCGGACGGATACAACGGAAATGAAAAGAATAGATAAAGAAATCATATTTATTGGAAAAAGCTGGGCAGAAATAAAAAACGATTGCCCAAAATAGAATAAGTGGAAGAGATTCGTAGACGTCCTATGCTCCACTCAAAGGAGATAAAAGGATTCATCATCATCATATATAATATACTAATTTACACAGGAATATCCAATGTTGGCTCACATTGGTTTTTCTCAGGATTAATATTTATTGTAATTTTTTTTAATTGTGAAGCCTAAATCATATTTTAACTCATTTATTAAATATATTGAATATACATTAAAGGGATTTTAAAGAAGCACTTTTGTTATTATAAACTTTAAATGTAATGCAGAAAGTTTTGTTGATTTTGTTTTTTAATTTCCCAATTTACAAAATTAATCGAACCATTTAATAAATGAATATGTTTGCGATTTTAATGGAATTATGTTGCTCATTGAAATATCGCTATGTTTTTATGAAAAACTTTCGAGTTCCTATTGCCCTGCTATTTATTGATGATTATTATTAATTTTATTATTAATGTCAATAAATTATTGTGCCGCTCAGAGTCAGTTGTTTTATCTTCGGTTAAACTGAATAATAATTTACGTATCAGATAAATAGAAGAATAAAAGAGTAAGAGCACACATAAGAGAATAAGAAAATAAGACAGTGAATTGAAGTTTATCAAAAGATGGAACAACTTGGTCTCAATGTTATTAATTTCTACATTATCTATACATATGTATACTTTTCAAAACTAATAAGTTCTCGAAAATCATTGATAATGGCACTAAAACATAATATTATTATATTTAATATACAAGTACAAAAAAATTTAGAAAGAACCAAAAACTCATTTATTTGCCATTTGTATACGTCACGAAATTGCTATTATCTCTACTAGGGATATACATGTATGCATACGTATTTTAAGGTAGAGATGTCAAGATATCAATGTATATATATATATATATAGTTCACAAGATATTTTATACTTTATTTTGGCATATATTGACATGAAATATTAAATATCTTGTAAACTATTAATTATTTTATAATCGTACCTTAATATTTTTATGAACACAATACTGAGATGAATCATTTGGTGTAACGAAAATACATTATTGCCTATTTATAAAAATTATCCATTTTGCCTATATTATATGTGTATATACATTTTTTTTAGCAACTGTGTTTTCTTTATACCAATTAATTCATTTCATTAACGTATAGAAAAGTTAATAGTTTACGAGATATTTAATATTGCATGTCAATATGTACCAGAATAAAAAATGTCTCATAAACTATTAGTTTTTTTGATATCTGTACCTTAATACTTTTATATGCAGAATAATTAGTAAAATCGTATTATATTAAAAAATCATATAATTCCATTAAAAAAAAAAAGAAGCTGACCTTGAAATCTCCGAAGCGCCTCTACCTGGATAAAAATTATCGTTATATGATAACTCTTTGTACTGTGCAATTTTGATTACATAAAATATAAATTTTCCTTTAAATCTTATAGATTCAAAGTATCTAAGGTAGTGACAATTATTGAGATATTATATGTGTATATATACAGGGTATCTTAGAAAGAGTGCAAATCCTTTTACTGACAAAATCTGTGAAAGATTCTAAGATGAAAAATCTTATATAAAATATCGAGGCTATATATTTACTTTTAAAGGTAAAATTCTTTTCAAATTACAAAACATTAAAATTCACCAATTGTAGCGTCTCAAATTCTTGCGCTCAGGCACATCTCGTAAACACACATGTGTTGACAACTCTCTCGTGGATAAATATAATAAAATTAAAATAATATTTCGTCTTGAAATGTTTCACAAAATCTGCCAGTGAAAGAGCCTACACTTTTTCTAGGACACTATACACATACGCGCGCGCTGAGACACGCAACGCACATATGTATGAATAACGCGCGCGTGTATGTATGTATACGTATGAGCCAAAAGTCCGAAGGTCAAGATTATTGCAGATTATTTCTCTTATTTTTACATTAAAAAGTCCTTACGAAATATTTTTTTTTAAACTTCATTTATAAGATATTTGACTGTATCCAGACTTTCGCTCATATGTGTGATCTCTAGTAGAGATTTTATTTAAAAAAGTTGCTCGTGTGTAAAGAGAAAAGGAGATACTCGAAGATGGAGTGTATATCGCAGTCTTCTTATAAAATTTATAAGAGGGAATGTATAAATTGGCGCTTTGTAACTAAGAGATCAAGTATGATTGTTGTTTTTATATCGACTATCGTTCCGAATTCTATTGTACTCTGTAGATGCCTCTTGTTGTGTTTTATTATCTCTGAATATTTTATCTTGTGCTTCAACATTGATCGTTAAATCGCCTATTTATGTATACATATTATTATATAATAGCGCTAAGTAATCGACAATGCGTAGCGCATTAGACTGATAGAATCCTTTTGGATATACATATACGCACGAGGAATTTTCAAATAAATGTGCTCATTCTGTTACGTTTTCAATAGTATTCATTTTCTCTTTTCTTCTGCTTTTTCCTCTTCCTCTTCTTTCTTCTTTTCCTGCATTTGGTCTCGACTAGAAAATACGTCATTAAATATCATCGTTTCGATTTCGGTATCATCTCGCTTGCTCTGGAATGTCAAATTGAAATCATCCGGAAACTTGGAACGATATGTGACGAAGTCATCGTGTCTGCAGTAATCGGTGAAGAAGGTGAGATATTGGACTTCCTTGTCCGTCGGTTTCGGCAAGTGTAATGGCGGCTTTATCTTGGTTGTGATCGGTACTGAACGCCGATTTAGTGGTCGTTTCTTACTCGCAGGTGGTTCCATAACGCGCTTCAGAGCGTCCAGTAATCGATGCATTAGTTCGAACTAGCAATCATACAAATTGTTACGAGTTGAGATATTGTTTGCGTTAAATTATGAAATAATTCATGTATTTAATTAAAAAAGTAATTTTTTATTATTCTCCTCGAAAAATACAGATGACCATCGTCTTAATATTTTTCCTGAATTTTTTACTTTTTCAAAAATATTCTTTTTGGAGAAATCTTCCTATTTTCAACCCAAGTAATGACAGCTTTAATTTTCTGTTAAAAATGATGGTTCGTCGAAAAAAAAAAAAACTATTGTACCATATTAAAAATTAGAACCCAAATGTGCTACTATTTTTACTAACCAAGTTAAATTTTATCAAATTAAAAAGTAAAATTCAAGTGGTATTATTTTTATTATTTTACTTAACTCTAATGATATGTTATTTGTATAAAAGATTTACTATCAATGCCATATTAATTTCCACACAAAATAAAGATAAATATATATGTTTAAAATAAATTATTTACCTTTCTCGCGGCATCCTCCGCTTCCTTTATAACCTTCATTTCTTGACGAAAACCTTCTCGCTCGCAAGTACGAACAATTTCGCGTGGTAAATTATCTAGCTGGAGATTAAGTTCCTCGTGGATTTTTTCAATCCACTTTATCATCGAAAAACTATCAAGATTCGCGTCGTTCGGACCCACGCAGCTCTCGTAGGTATCCTCTATGAATACGTGAAGGTAAAGTACTTCTTCAGAGCACACGAGGTGTCGGAAAACATCTCGGAGAAGATAATTAGCGTATTCCTCGAGATTTGTTGCTCTATTTTCTGCCTTGATGATGAAATTCTATCGAATACTTCGATTCGTGAGATTAAATTTTTAATGTTAAAGACTATATATAGTATTTTTCTTTAAAATACAATATAATTTAAAAAAGAAAAACTTATTTCATTAAAATTTAGTTGAAATATTTTATGTATAGATATTAAAATAATTTTAAAAAAGATACGTAGACTTTTTCAACAAAGTGTTCCAATTCGGAAGAATTCTGAGAAGTTTTTTACAAAGTTATACAATAAAATTATACAAAAATTCTAAAAGTTATGAACATAGAAATTATAAAATATATGAACAACTGTAGGAGAAAAATTTTTGCCGGAGTAAATTTAAAAGGAAACATACAGTTCTATATAAAAAAGCAAACACTTGTGTTAATAAATTTAGTTTTGATAATTATTTTTGTTTTTAACGTGATTCGCTTTTCAGTCTTGATTAAATATATCTTTGATTATTCTTTTTATTAAATATATTATATCACTAAAATTTTTTAATCTTTTTTCAAACATCCAACATATTGGGTTGGAGGAAAAATTCTGTGGTATTTTATTAGCTCAAAATTGTGTATACTGTATATTTAAAAATTTAGAAATTATACCATTCTATCCAGATGGGGCAAAGTTTCAGTTTAAAAAAATTGATTTTTTAAATTGTAGTACGATATTTTTTAACAGAGTTATGAACAATTAAAATCAAAATGTTCCTTTATTTATATCGCGAATAACTCAGGAACAAAAATTCGAAAAACTCAGGAACATTTTTTAAAAATAAATTTTCAGGAAAAACTTTAAGCTTTCACGTCAAATACGAAAATTTGCCTAAATTCTTTTTTGACAGACCTAAAGTGAGAAGAAAAATTTCCCTTTTTTTCAGCTTGTAGTTTTCTATATGTAAAAATTACCAAATTTACATGAACTAAAAAATTATAAAAAAAAACTTTTTGAAGTAGAGGTTTCAAATTTTAAAATTTTTTCTTTCAATTTAAATTTTGTTCATTTTTTACGAAGATATTGCATATATGTATATAGTTTTAAGCTAACAAAAACAACAGAACTTTTCCTCCAACTCAATATATTAACATGTTGAATTTGTAAATCACGTGGACTGATCAAATTGAATTGGTACGAACTTCTAAGTCATCAATCGTTGAAGTAATCTCGTCGATCTCTCGTTTGATTTGTGCTTCAGTCTCAGTGATAGTCGTGGCCATATCTGCCATCGGAGCGGCGAGCGATTCGAGATGTACGAGTGCGTTTAAATTCTGGGTCTCCATTGCCCGGAAGATGCGGATTAAATCGAATGGATCATCGAAGTACAACACGGCCGGGCCGGCATCAGTGGTGTCCTGTTCGAATAATTCTAACACGAAACGGTTGTTCGTACATAAGTCACATAGTTTCACAACTTACGTTTGACTCTCTTATTTCTCGTATCTAGCTCTTTCTAATTCTATAATTAAAAAGAGGTAAGAAATAAGTTAACCGAGTTAACATGAGTTGTGAAACCGAATCTAAGACCGGTATTCAGTTTTTATATTCAAAACCGTCTCAAGTTCAGTTTCGAAGTATCGAAACCAATCAGAAAGCTGTATTAGTGCCTTAAAACATTATTTATAAGACAATCTTGAAATAAGAACCGATTATAAATACCGGTCTAAGAAATGTTGAAAAGTATTAAGCGCTGAACGTTTCATCTAAAAATACCTATCAATTTCTCCAAGGATGCGCTTTCGTCTAGTGTTTTGTGTCTGTTAAGCAGGTCGATCGATGGAGTACCGACGGTAATGCTACTTTCTGGCTCGGATTGTTGAAGCCAGTTGTACTTGACCTTCCAAGCGGCAGGTGATACGCGATAAAGGAACATCTGGCACATTTTCACGAATCTCCAATTTTCTTCCAAGACATAAATGTCCAACCTACTCTGACCGAATTGTCTCGCAAGCTCGTTCTTTCGGGCGCTAATCTCCTCCGTCAGTTTCGTTTCCCATTCCGCTCGCTTCAGCATTTGCATACTTTTCTCGTGATCTTTCGACAGGAATTCTTCGAAGCCACTCACGTATCGCCGACAACGATACTTTTGCAAAACAGTAAATTAAACGGATCAATTTATGTCGAAACATTCATTTGAGAAATTTATAGTATCATTTCGTGATGGATAAGGCATTATTTCTCGCGCATATATAAAATGTTGTTTGTAAGTCAAACTATATATGTAATTACGCAACACACAAAATAAAAAAGTCATGTCCCGAGAGACTGAATCCATGTACTCCTGTACGTATTTTAAGGCTTTGAAATTGAATAAAATGCGTCGATCAGGATTTTTTTATCCTCGAAAAATTGTCAAACATCCCTTAAAATTGCACTATTCAATGCGAGAATTTTCTTTAATTCAACTTTGAAAATATTATGAAGATTTTTCTTTATACCTGGATTTGTCGTAATCGATGTGTTTCTTGCTTAAATTGTTGATCGATGCGAATACAATCATCTTTTTCTTGACTAATGAGGAGTTTTGTTTTTAATATCTCTCGTATATCTTGGATGTACTGTTTCAACGAAAACTTTTCTTTCACAGATCTACCGGATAATTCTGTAAAATACTGTGGATGCACATCAGTCATGGCAATAACTTTATCCGATTTTTTGTATTTTTTTGCTTCTTCTGTTTCTATCTCGAAGTCCACCTGTGCAGAATTTTTAATAAAGCATAATAATACATATCCACCGAAATTCTTTTTCAGTTTTTTTATTTTGCTATGTTTTACGAAATTTAAAAATAAAAAGGTTCTGAAAATTTCCTTTAAATTTCCTTAAAATTTTTTGCATAATTTCTCAGAATTTTTATACAAATTGAAACACTTTTCAGAGAAAAGCTAAAAAAGTTTATATATTTTCCAGAATTCTTTTTATTGCACTTATATATCAATGTGATTAATATATTTTGAGAATTTAATAAATTAAATTATATAATATTATATTGCAACATAAATATATTTATCAGAGATCTCAATAATAATAGATAAGCATAACTTACATGTAATCTTTGTAAAATATTGTGGAGTTGCAAACTTTTATGTCGATCTTTGTAGAATTTTTTATCGTGTTTAGATATCGCTTTCTTTTTTTGCATTTTCCACCATTGAAGATGAGACAAGGTTTGCGAGCAAGAAGGAAAGATAAAAGGCGATTGTTCTTCATCCTTTACATTTTCCCCTTCATTTAAGTATTTGTGATCGCTGGACAAATAACGTCGCATTCTAAAAAATTGACAAAGTTTTTACACGTAAGTAATAACGAATTGGAGCTTTCACGTTTTGCTCGAAAGCACAAACATACACTTGTTTTATCTCAAATCGAGAAAACGTGAGAGAAAAACGCAGCTATTCTAGTGAAAAAAATTCCGCTAAAATTATTCAGCATATCACAGTAATTTCTGTGAAATTTTTCCACCAGGGAATGCTTATTTCTATCAATGTAGATTGACTTCAATCTGTTTGATTTACTATTTATCTTTTCGTAATTCTTAAAATAAGTTAAACAAAAAGTAAAAATTAATTTACATTGGTAGAAATAGGTACAAGAAAATAAAATTTGGTTTTCATAATTAACCTTGAAAAATTGCGATAAACATCGCGTAATTTTTTGCGTGACGCCAGCGGATGAATTCTTGGGTCGACTTTGCGTGACTCGAAGATGCTCATTTTTCGCGTTTTATTTCTCATTAATCTAAATTAACAGACACAAAAATTCACAGTAACTCCATGAAGTCCACCGAATGGAGGGATCTAATTTGTTTGTCATGCGCTTTGCGCTCTTCTTGATGTAGAGCTGCGTTCGATAAATTATATATATGTATATACATTTTTGTCTTACAGGTCTTCCGGTAAAAAAACTTTTATTATATTCCATAAAAAAAAATCTTACGAAGGTATAAAAAATACTCCAAGTATCATAAATACAATACGTTCAAAAAACGCAACAAAAAAATTTATTTATTTAAAAGTTAAAAATAAGTACCATTCAAAAATAAGTATACTGAAAAAAAAATTTAAACTTTAAAAAAATTGTAATTAATAAAAAGATATAATTTTTTTAAATACGAACAACAACAGTATTTATTTTAATTTTGCAGTACATATTACTATATTTTAATTTTTTAATTAAAACGTAAAACGAAGTATCCAGTGTGATCCTAAAAAATATCCTAAAAAATATATTTGCAATGTGTTAACAAAATAATGATTTTGATCGTCACCGAATTTTAATAAATGACTCTTTTAACGACATGGATTACTCGAGGGTGAGTTTTTTGTCAGAGGGACAATTGCTTGTCACATTATTTTATTATAACGTTAATTTTGTGTCCTCATTAGTATCACAGAGATACATCACAAACGATCTTCCAATCGCTTGATGAGCTAAATTGTTCTCTCTGTGGAAATACTCAACGTTTTAGAACATAACACTCCATTATAGTTTTTATTCTTGTTTTTTCTGCGTTAACTAAAGATGTTTTACTGCGTTAATTAATATTTATATGTACATCTGAGGATGGCTCGAATATGCAGCCGAAACGTTATGGTTTTGACTTTTGATTACGTGCGCATTTATAGTGTGAATTTTAGTTTATTTTTATTTTATTTTAATTTATAATATATTAAATGGTTTATTATAGATCACACATATAATATTGACTCTTAATTGCCTTTTTATTTCATTGACAATTTTCTAAAAAATATCCTTGAATCCTGGAATTTAATGTATTCTAGAAAGTTTCTGAAAAGTCTCTATACAATTACAAGACTGACCTGAATTTTTTATTATTTTTTCATTCTAAAACATCGGTGTGTGGAATATATATCAAATGAGGAAAAAAGATCGGTATTTCTAAATTAAAAATTCATTTTTACGTAAAAATGAAAATAAGAAGAACAATTTTCAACGAATGTTATCCAAATCATGCCATCCAAGATGAAGCTGATCCCAGATAGTCTGATGATATTTTAATTGATTACTGCTTTTAAACAAGATGAGTGAAAGGAACATCCTAAGTATATCTTATATATATTTTCAGAATATCTTTCAAATATCCTTAAAATATATAGTATCTAGGATATTATCAGCAAGTGGATCTTTTTACACCCTACAATTTTCGTCGGAAACATTTTTCTATAAAAAAAATATATTTTCCGAGTACCGACCTTTTTTCCCCATCCTGCATATCTGTTCTACATTCTAATAAAGCCCGTTTTACCTTTTACCTCATGTCTCTCTCTGTACAGTAACTATGCGCAACGCGGTTTGCCAAAAGGAAAGGATGGTTTCAGCGGGAAATCGCCGCGATGCGTGTCGGGGAGGTGTGCACGTACCACACACTTTCATTGTTCTTCGATGTCTCAGCGAGAAGAGGTGTAAGCGATTTCGCGTGTGTTACTAGGTGCACTAACTAACATACCTGTAGTCGTCCCAAGACGAAAGCCATTTGAATATTCTGCGAAGTAAGTGTCCGATCTTTCTCCAGAATTACAAATTTTAATCAATTAGAAATGTAAATAAGACAATAATTTCCGTAGAGCGAAAACATACGCGCTATAACAATCGAGCGACGAAAATGTCAGATGTAAAGTGTTGACGGCGCAAAAGCATTTTTGTTGTTTTTTAAATTTTTTGTTTTTATTTTTACAAAAAAAAATTTTGTCTGTCTATACTTTTTGAAAAATACGTTCAAAAATTTTTATTACTTAAATTTGTATTTATTTAATATTGAGATGCTTGGACATTTTATAGATAAATGCATGAAGAAAAGGAAATGTTTAACAATAATCCTTTTATCAAAATATATTTTAACTTTAAAAAATATATACATAAAGTAATTTTTTAAAATCATACAGTTGTATTATTTTTTTGTAAAGAAACGTAGTCAAGTCAAGTGTAAACAGAGGCTCAATAAAGAAACTTTTAAAACGTTTACGACATTATTTGTCAAATAATGCACATCAATAAATAATAAGAAACATTATATCAACATTTTGAAATATTAATTTTATGTGAACTTCATTCACGTTTTCGTCTAATATTTTATAAATATTATTGTAATATTACCTTATAATATAATATTGTCTAACTGCTATACAAATATCTGTTGAAATTTAACAGTTGAATACAATTTAAAATAATTAACGAAGTATAAAGACGGGGTGAATGGAATTGGATTCTGCATTTGCATATGAGGATGCGAACAATGCAATTTCGCCACGTAGAATCTCGCAATTTATCTGTATACGTTGTAAACAGTACCAGTGTAACAACATGCGTTCTATTGCAACAACATACTTGGGTCAAAATACTATTTGCTTGAAAAGTCCATTACTTTTATCTTAAGCGTTAAATTCTGCGATAAATTTTTAGTTTAATGTAGTTTCATAGATTTATAATATAATAAGTTTATTAATTAAAATAGTGAGAAAGAGAGACGGAGAGGAGGGGGGAGGAAGAGAAAAAGAGATTCAGTCAGATTAAACATATTTCTACTAATTAAACCTCTTATTGATTTAATAATTCTATTTTTATAAAAACTGGTTGTCAAGGATGACATTGACAGATCTACAAATTTATATTATTATATTATTCGTCGTGTATTATAATTAACGTTAACGAGCGACTTAAAGATCATACTTCCTAGTTTCACACAATTCGGTTGTCGTTGACGACACAAACGGAATAGAGACTCTTTCATGCTCTGTTTCAGAGCCTCGAGTTCATCAAGTTTCTACAGGATGCGCTTTGGGAGATATTTTAATGGCAGAACGTAGACGGACGAATACTTAAATCCATAATGGTAGTTGTATGCAATTTGAAGTGCAAAAATTTCATCATGTCATTAATTACGTAGCACCATTCTCTTTTAGCGTCTCATTTTCTGTCATATCTTGTTAGTATGATGACTAACTGTGAAAAATTAAAAATTTGTGTTTTCAGTCAAAATCACCTGCGACTAATGATTCAATTTCTTTTAACTCCATTTAATGAACAGAATTGTTTACATTTGCCGCAGGTAATGCAGTTCAGACAGCCAACAGTTTGGTTATTTAAACTCTTATCAATTGGTTTTGCGTATACTGGTATTAGTGATTGGGATGCGTGCAGTGGACGATTAGAACGTGCTTTGGACGCACTACACAGAGATTCCATTAGAAGAAATAAATTGGATGAAGAAGAGATTGGAACGTTGTATCAGCGCGAACTTCGTTCCGTTCCCCTGGAAATGTCTGTCTCCCGTATGGCAGTGAAGGTAATATTTTTGTCAAACAATAAGATTTCACACCTTTAAATTTATTTGACACAAAACAAATTTCTTCCCTTCTTTTTTTAAGAATAATTTTCCATTTATACTTAATTTTACATTCGAACTTTACATATAAGTATATTTTAACATAAAAAAATAATTTTTTTAAGTTCGCGACAACCGTGCAACCGTTAATAAACCCTGATCGTCATCGTCGAAGTTGCACACTCGATGTATCGTTTTCCATACGCATAAAAGGAAAGGATTTATCAAACAAATTAATGCATTGGAACAGTCCAATCAAATAGATGTTTAAATTAAGAATGTCATCATTATCATTAAAACTAAACTTTTTTTTTTAAATATGTTTCATTTAAAATTAAATTTGTTTCGATAAAACAAATGCATTATAAATACATAAAACTCTTAAATCCACGAATAAAATCTTTTTCTTTGTGCATAAACTTTAATTGACGTTCAATATTTATTGCATTTTCATTCTTTTGTGATCCAAAACCGAATTGATTGCTGTTAGATTCATACATACATGTCTTGCATTGAGACGCCTATTGAAACCGGTATTCATAGAGTCCTTTCTTATTTCAAGATTGTCCTAAGAATGTCTTAAGACGCAAATACAATTCTCTGATTGGTTTTTATTTTCTTAAGAATATATGTATATTTAATGATCTTAAATATAAGATCCGAGTACCAAACACCGGCCTATAAATTAAAATTAAATTGTGATTAAATTATGATTAAAATTTATTCAGCTAACATTGATTACAGTAAAGATGACTTTAAGTGAAAAAATGTTGATAGAATATAATACTCCAACAAAAGATCTCTGTGTGTTGTATTATAAGCCTGGCTTATCTCGTAGCTTTCAGAAAACACAAAGGAGACCAGGGGTTACTGGGCGCGAGTGGAACAATGCGTGTACGATCCCGATCACAATTCTCTGCGGACGCGCATTGTATTCAACGATTTGTCAGTGTCAGGAATGGTGTCCCTAATGCCGCGAAATCATCACGCCCTGATTTCCGCTGAATCCTGCAAAATGACCCTGCGACTGAGGCGCGCTGGAATAGACTTTCTCACCAATCCGATCACCCGGGGACGCGGTCAGATGCGTATACGCACTGAGTCTAGCTTCCTGGAACCCAGATTTGCATCGATCTATGCGTATGATTGCCGTTCTACGCGCATTGACAAGCAAATCAAACGGCAAGATAAATGGCCGTCGTATCATTCAAGTAACGTCAACAAGGTAGGCTAAATATTGGCAAAATGACTCTCTAAATCTCCTCAAGTGCAATTTCAATCGAAGAGACTGAAACTGAGCAAGTTCGAAAAAATATTACCTCTTGTCGAGTACGTTTACGTAAATTAACTCAAAATTGTAAATTTAAAAAATTGTACTATTCGATAGAGATGGAGTAAAGTTTCAGCTTTAACAACCTGATTTTTTAATTGCAGTACGATGATTTTTAACGGAATGATGAACAATCAAAATCAAAATGTTCCTTTACTTAACTCGCTAATAACTCAGGAATAAAAATTCGTAGGAACATTTTTTAAAACTAAATTGTTAAGAAAAACGTTGAGCAAATTTTTTTTTGGTACATGACAGATCCACAAAGTGAGAAGAAAAATTTCTCTTTTTTTCAGCTTGTAATTTTCTATATATATAAAAGTTACCAAATTCACGTGAACTAAAAAATTACAAAAATCTTTTAAAAGTTGAAATTTCAAAATTTTAAAACCATTTTTTTTTAATTAAATGTTCATTTTTGACGAAGATATTGTATATATATACATATATATAACTTTGAGCTAACAAAAAGCGCTGAACTTTTCCTACAATCCAATACTTTTGTTATATATTTTTTATTTATTACAGGTAACACCGACTCTGTCATTAGCTCTGAACGACAAGTACGATGCGGCGGAACCGAGACAATTAGCGGGCAATGCCGATGAAATAGACATTGTTATACCGAATGAGAATCGACATTTGCATTATTCACACATTCCTGAGACGAATTTCGGTGTATGGAAGAAGAATTCTTGGATCACCAAATTATCATCACATCAGAAACGCTCAACGGCACGGTACGCGCGTACTGCGATTGTTATTACACCGCGTAACTTCACGGACACCCTGATAAATAAGCGTAAATCGACAGCGAGATCTGTGAATTTCACTAAAATTCTTAATCTAACCGACCATTTCCGGAATGAAGATTCATCACAACATGTATCGCGGGATCTCGTAGTAAACGACAATTACGACAATTTGTTCTCTGTAGACTCAGAAGATCCGAACAGGATCAATTGGCAATCTAAAGAGTATATCACAAAAGAAATGGAGGAAGTGTTTTTGCAGGGTGCTAGCCAAGCGTTGACCAGATACATCGAACGTCAACTACATCCGGCAATCAAAGAGACACTAATGCTGTCTATGGGTTACACCATCAGTTATGGATAAAAGTCAGAGAACATTCGATACAGCGCGCCTTAGGCGCAAAATATCCTATAGAATATGTTATATAAATATTATTATTAAAAAATTAAAATAAGTTATTATTATATTTTGAGAGAATATTTTATAATATTTTTTAATATTATTAAAGAGTATTCTACAGATGTTTTATATGTCGACTTATATAATATAGGTACCTATATATGTATATCAGGGTTGCCGGAAAGTAACGCGTTATACTTTGTAACGCCGTTACCGTTTCTCTATTAACGATCGTTACTGTTTTTTCTGTCTAACGGTAACGTCGTTACATTTTTACAGTAATGGTAACGAATTCAGCCATTACTTTTATCGTTATTTTAGTTCTTTTTCAAACTCTCTGGATGGCTTTCCGACCTCACTCAGACTCACAATACCATATATCTTATATTAGTTTCCTATATTATTTTTATACCTATTCAATAGATCGCACACACACGCACATACATAATATAGTAACCCTGATGGAAATAAATCGCTGAAGTCTCTATCAATTAACTTATATCATTATAAATTGCACTGAAATGAGTCTATTGATAAAAAGGGTATGTTCCACTTAACACCCACAACGCTCGCGAAATCATTTTATCCTTATTATTATTTATCAAATGTCAAATAAGGAAAAACAAAATGCTCGTGAGCGTTGCGAGCCTTAAGTGGAACACAGCCAAAGATTTCACTGATTTATTTCCATCAGGAAACATTAATGTTTAAAAACAATATTTAATCTATATATTATCTGTTTAATCTATATGTTTAAGCTAAATTCTTATAAAAATGAGTACATTAAAATGACGATATTAAGAAAATAAAGGAATTAATAAAACTGTAAGTAAGTTTAATATAGAGAAAAGTTTGCTCTATTATACATATACAAGTAGTTAGTAGAGAGTTTTAAGTTTGAATATTTATTTCATATTTAATAATATTAAATTAATTATTAGCTAATGTTATATATGTATATATATAATATAATACACGGGAAGACCATGCAGATGTAAAGGACCCTCTATTACCAATTCCCGTTCGTTCTAGTTCTACCAAGAGCCTCATCGAGGCGCTGTTATGATGAGCCGCTCACGCCGCGCAGACTCTGCAATGTGATTGGTCGAAATAGCCACGCGAGGCTATTATTGTTCGCTTGAGTTATTTCAAACAAGAAGGCAACGGGACGATGCGACGAGATCGCAAAGTATGTCTAATCTTTTCGCTTTTGACAAATATCAAAACTGATCAAAATTGATCTCTTATGTCTAGTTCACATTAGATGCGATGCGCGACAAGCGATAACCAATAAGAACTCTGCTTTACATCGTCGTGTGAGCAAAAGCAAAGCTTTTATTGGATATCGCTCGTCGTTGATCGCCCATCGCATCCAGTGTGAACTAAGCATTAGGGTGCAGTCCCATGGAGCGTATCGCGCGTATCGCGGATTAGCGGATCGCCAATCACAGAATCGTTCTGTTAGATCTGTTTTACAAATTTTGTAAGCAAATCTAACAGAACGATTCTGTGATTGGCGATCCGCTAATCCGCGATACGCTCCATGGGACTGCACCCCACTGCACTCTTACGTCTTCTCTCAGGTTTCTCTCTTCTGATAGGACGAAAATGTAAGAATCAAAATTTGGTTGGCTAGCCGATCGCTTTGAATGCTGTCATGCACATTGTTTTGGTTTTCTTTCACCAATGCATGTTCCTAGCTTTAACGCTTTGATCCATGCGTGGGATGGTAGTAATGGTTGGTAATGGTACTAATGGTGCAAAAGGGTGAAAACGGTTGTTTTGGTAATTGATTAGATAAGCATTAAGCGATTAGATATTTTGGGATTGTTAGGGGGACAGAATTGAGGAAAAACACGAGAGCAACAGCAATGCGGTGAACGCCGGTGACGACAAGCGATGGCTGGGCTAGTGTCCAGTAAGGAGTGCGAGACGAGCTCGCCGAGAAATGCCGATAACCTACCACGCCAGATCACGTCAACGTCCACGTCCGAGTCAAGTAACGACGTGGCTAAAGAGAACCTGGCGATAGAGGAACGACTGGCTGCCAAAATGTTTTCTTACGAACTTATCTGTTTCTTCTTTGCGATCACTTTTACCGCTATGGCTGCTCTGCACAATTCGTAAGTTTTAGGCTATGTTTATATTACATACTATGTAGGAAAAAGTAGTAATACGGGCTCCCTTGCTATTAATATGCCATTTAAAACTTTATTATAAGGTGTCCCAAAATGATAGTCAAATATTTCGTGTGTTGATAGAATGGATTAAACTAAGTTTAAAAGTCTTTTGCTATTTTGAAATTTTTGCAATAGTGAAGATATTAATTACTAAAAATCGCTAAATATTAGTTTTCCAAAATTTTTTACTCAAGTTACTTTTAACTTTACAGAAAAACAGCAAATGACAAATATTATTTATTTTTTTCTCGTAGAATTCTGAGAATTTTTTTTAGCATCACATTTTCTCATGTTAAAAATAGTTGTCAATAAGAAAACACTGCACTCTTACGTCTTCTCTCAGGTTTCTCTCTTCTGATAGGACGAAAATGTAAGAATCAAAATTTGGTTGGCTAGCCGATCGCTTTGAATGCTGTCATGCACATTGTTTTGGTTTTCTTTCACCAATGCATGTTCCTAGCTTTAACGCTTTGATCCATGCGTGGGATGGTAGTAATGGTTGGTAATGGTACTAATGGTGCAAAAGGGTGAAAACGGTTGTTTTGGTAATTGATTAGATAAGCATTAAGCGATTAGATATTTTGGGATTGTTAGGGGGACAGAATTGAGGAAAAACACGAGAGCAACAGCAATGCGGTGAACGCCGGTGACGACAAGCGATGGCTGGGCTAGTGTCCAGTAAGGAGTGCGAGACGAGCTCGCCGAGAAATGCCGATAACCTACCACGCCAGATCACGTCAACGTCCACGTCCGAGTCAAGTAACGACGTGGCTAAAGAGAACCTGGCGATAGAGGAACGACTGGCTGCCAAAATGTTTTCTTACGAACTTATCTGTTTCTTCTTTGCGATCACTTTTACCGCTATGGCTGCTCTGCACAATTCGTAAGTTTTAGGCTATGTTTATATTACATACTATGTAGGAAAAAGTAGTAATACGGGCTCCCTTGCTATTAATATGCCATTTAAAACTTTATTATAAGGTGTCCCAAAATGATAGTCAAATATTTCGTGTGTTGATAGAATGGATTAAACTAAGTTTAAAAGTCTTTTGCTATTTTGAAATTTTTGCAATAGTGAAGATATTAATTACTAAAAATCGCTAAATATTAGTTTTCCAAAATTTTTTACTCAAGTTACTTTTAACTTTACAGAAAAACAGCAAATGACAAATATTATTTATTTTTTTCTCGTAGAATTCTGAGAATTTTTTTTAGCATCACATTTTCTCATGTTAAAAATAGTTGTCAATAAGAAATACATAACTAAAAAGTTCATTAAAAATTCTGAAAAAATTCTTAGAACTTAATGAGAACATAATTTTTGGCTCTTCCTGATTTTTCATGAAGTTGATAGTACTTGAGTAAAAAATGATTAAAAATCAATATTCGATTTTTAGTAATTAATATCTTTGCAAAAAATGCAAAAAATTGCAAAAAATGTTTGTGGCAAAGAACTTTTTGATTCAGTTAAGTCACTCTATCAGCATATAAAATATTTAGTAGTTATTAATCTGTTATTTTGGGACACTCTGTGTAGTTAAGCATCTCTTATCAACAAAATTCAACTTATTATAAATAAATTCTGATACATAACAAAATTGTGAAACAATTGCTGCCACAGCTAGCCAAATTTTTTTGTCAACGTAAGTAGTCTGTTTTCTATTTCTGCATTGGATTTGATTAGAACTCTCTTGCTTCTTACAGATATTAAATACATATGTATCTCATTTTAATTCCCAAAAGATTACACTCAGACAATGAGGCTGTAACACTTCTTTCTCGATGGTTTGCAAAACATACAAAAAAATATAGTGGTTTGAGTAAATGTAATACATAGATTTTATCCTCAATTATAAATGTATATGTGGATTTTGCAGGTCACCCAAACTTTCCAAGTCTCCTGTAGCAAAACCTTTTTTTGATCAAAACTCAGTGATACTGGACTTCTATAAGGGTCATCTAGATGCAATGATTGAAAGGCTAACACAAGCAGATTTCAGCTTTATTATGTATTATGCACCCTGGGATGCAGAAAGTCAGGCTCTTCGGCACGAATTCGAAAGCGTTGCTCGATTTTATCATCCACAGGTACAAAATTGTGATATAGTATTCTATGTTTCTTCTTACATGTTTACAAGCACTTGAGTATTATGTGTTCTTAGATATTCTTTGCAGCCATTAATTGTTGGCATCCCGATTCAGAGTGCAGAATGCAGTATAATAAAATCCATGGTTATCCAGTATTGATGTTGTATCCATCCAGAGATTCTGGTATTAATTATAGAGGAATTCGTACGGCACCATATATGATTCGTTTTTTGGATGCATTTATGAATCCTATTATTAGAATAACATATAAAGAACAATTAATGGAATTACTGGTTGCTTATGATGTAAGTATTTAAAAAAAATTTTTGTTTAAAAACTTAAATTTTTTTTTCTATATTAATCAACAACTCTTCTCTAATTTGAGAATGGGAATAAGTTTCATTTGTACATGTTTTGATTTTATTTTCAGAAGTTTTCAGTGTTAATCAACATTGAAAGTGAAACTTTTAAATATAAAATTATTTACAAATTTTAAAATGTTTATTAGCATCAGATTATTAAGATCTTAAAATAGTTTGAAAATTAATATCACTAAATAACTTGATAATTCAATTCTAATATTGCTTTGACTTAGGATTGTATTTCAAGTCAAGACCTATAAATTATTGGTAATACACTATTAGCTTGAACTGGAAATTGTTTAAATTTACATATTCAATAAGAAATATTATCAGG